GGGGGTGTTGAAGGGAGGGGGGCAGTTTATATGGGGAATGAAATGCGAGTGGCGCAGACTGCCAGCACCGTTTTCACACGAGCTGAGAGTCGCCTCATCACCCCGCTGACGGAGGTCCAAGAGTGCAATGTGCTGCTCTGCCTCCACAGACTCCTCTAATTGGTGGGACTTTGCTTAAATATTCAGCACAATTGTCACCTGAAGATTTAACAGAGACAGGTGCTAAAAAGTTCTGCCAGGATTTACCTGTGGTCTCTTCAAGGTTTCACATCTGTGGTTTAGCTCACCTGTCCACACTCTGTGATTTATGGGACGTTTCAAAGTTTAAGTGGAAACGGAATCTCTCAACTCTACACGTTGAGTGTCTTTAAGTCCCTCTTTTAGGAGGTGCATTATGATAAGTTCATGTTGCGTGGACAAACCGTGTTGATACTTACATTTTAGAATGTACCAACATGTTAAATGCATGTAATGATGGATATTAAACTAAATGTGACGTCTTTTATTCTTATATTTATGTCATAAAAGTCAATGAAAAGTAGTAAATACTAAGCCACAACAAAACCAATGTTGTCCCCTTATAATATATCCTTTAACTTGCAAAGGCTTTTCTTAAGGAAAGAGTCACATATAGTGTTTGAAAAGTAACAATGATGCATCGTTTTGCACTGTTTTTTTAATTTCAATGATTAAAAGTTGTATTAGTATACCAGGGGTTCCCAACCTTTTTTCCCAAGGGCCCCCCCAAATGACTCCTGTTGGACACTTTACGGGCAGAAGAAACATTTCTATTAAAGAAACAATTATACATTTCTGTCTTTTTATGCCTTTAATAGCTACTAACTTGAATTTTTATTCTAATTAATTAATCAATTATTTTGTATATTTTATTGTAATGTAGAGACAAGGCTTTTAGTGACAATCATGTATTGCGTTACAATTATATGTAAAAAAAAAAAGTCTAAATATGATATTTGGCATTAAATCATCTGAGGCCTGGCACCCCCCCTGCGATCAAGGGGGGCGCGCCCCCCAGGTTGGGAACCACTGCCATGGTGGAAACGAATAAGAATGGTTGTCCTTTCTTATTAGGGATTCCCGTAAATTAGTTTTTTTCTACTTTGTTTTACATGAAAAGTACAATGAAAGCTACTGTATATAACTTTCTCAGTGAGTTACTCAGATGAGTACCAGGAGACAATGTTTGGTACTCAGGGCTGCCCACGCAAAGTTATGTGTTCAGCCCCTCGACGGTGGGGGGGTGCGGGTGTGTGCTAGTGGAGCAGGCGCGTAGAACTCGTCCGGAAGTTGTGGCACAATTCCGTTGTACACACCGACGTGAAAAGCAGCCCCGTCTGTGCGCACGGCGACCGGCTCTGTCGTCCAGTGATCTAAGCGCCTTCTGGAAATGCTTCAAAAGTCTGTCGGTACGCAAATGCGCTTTGTGACACAAGTGACGTTACGCATTTCAGATGTTTGCCGCACATGCGTACCTGCGTACCAGTTATGTGCACCCCTGTGTATATTATATTAAGATGAAAGGGGAAATAGTTATTTACTTTTCTCCAACGTTTGGCATGTTGTGATGGTTTTTCTGGGAGGATTTGACATCAAACCAAGATCTAAAAGTAGGTTTTGCTGCACAAGATGAGATGAATTCAAACAGGTGAACAGGTTAAGGGGAATTTAAAGTGTGAAATTAAGTGAGTCTGCTGCTTAAAAAAGAACAAAAACACAGAAAGCTGCTCAGCTGCAGCTCTGCTCTGAATACTAATTTATCAGCAGTGTGTGGGTGGGTGGGTGGGTGGGTGTGTAAAGCAGATGCCATTCTGCTGATCTCAATCCACATCCATCCGTCTACAACCCGAATCTTCTGTAGGCCACGGGGACGAGCCGCCTCTCCTCTCCGCAGGTCAGGCGGCGTCCAAAATGTTTGATCTCGTCTCGCAGGTCGAGCGGCGCCTGACGGAGAACATCTGCCCGCTAAAAACCCACAAGCTGCACACACGACATCAACAGTGTGTGTGTGTGTGTGTGTGTGTGTGTGTGTGTGTGTGTGTGTGTGTGTGTGTGTGTGTGTGTGTGTGTGTGTGTGTGTGTGTGTGTGTGTGTGTGTGTGTGTGTGTGTGTGGTGTGTGTGTGTGTGTGTGTGTGTGTGTGTGTGTGTGTGTGTGTGTGTGTGTGTGTGTGTGTGTGTCTGCTGCACACAGTGTCAGCGACAGTGTTGCATGTTGACGCAACTGCTGAGTTAGCTGCGTTTCAACAAGTTACCATGTGATCTGGAATGGAAATGACAACACAGGACTCGCCACTGTATACAAGTGCAATTCAATGATTAAATTACAAATAATAAAAACATATATGATGTGGTAAAAATACATAATAAGATCAATATTTGTAATTAGAAACAGTTTTTTCAAAGAATATATACTGTAAGGGATAAAAAATGAATAAACTTAAGATATTAAAATCTATAAAAATGTAATAATTACATGGAAAATAAATTCTTAATTTACACAAACCAATATAACAAATATATTTTACATTTTATAAAATATTCGAATAAATTAAATGTTGTAATAATTATAATAATACAAATATTTTATTACAGACAAAAATATCAAAACAAATCCTAGATAATTATGACAAATATTAAAGAAATAGACAATTTAAAAAAAAAATGTTTGGACCCCTACTGTGTTGCTTTACCCCATTCAATCTAAACTTTTAAGGAAATTGCTGCAGATTTCTAGCAAATAGCACTTTAACCCCGAGCCACTGTGCCTACTCAACCTGATAACTCAACCTAATAATCTGACCTCTAAAAGCGTGTTTGCAGCAGCCGAATAAAAGCAAGTTTGGAGAGGTTTAAAGGTTGCATGGACTATGTAAAGTGCAGCTCATTACGACTCAAACTGCACGCCGTCTCCTCTGCAGAAACCAGTGTGCAGGAGGTTTAGAGGTTGAGTGAAAATGCAGTGAAACCATTTGCCTTTCCTGAAGAAGCACAGTCAATATTATGTGAGGCATTACCGGTCAAACATATGCACATTCCCTACTCGAGTCCTTCTTGATAAAGCTCAAACACGTTCGGTATCGTCTATCAAACACCGGGGGGAGGATGGGGTGAGGCTGGTTGAACAGAAGTTTTTTCCACGGTACCGAGCGGGTTATTTTATTGACGTGGGAAGACACAGGAAACGAGCTGCTTTCACTCTTGCATGTCGAGTCCTTCTGTTGGCGCGTGAATCCAAAACAATTTCACATTTTGAGAAATACGGGGGCAGCTGGCGTTCCCACAGCCGTGCAGGAATTAGCCGTTTATGCGCTGCAACCCTATCTGCTCTGCACCTGGGCGGCTAGCGTGGCAGCCCAGCACCTTTTGACTGGGCCACACAGGCCACTGCTGCACTGAGTGTGTGTGTGTGAGAGGGAGGGAAATAGAATGTACACTTATTGCATGATTTTCTGGAATGCCTTCCTGCATATTTGACATTTTTCTTCTATTTACTTAATTTAGTGGGAGTTTCTCAGCCGTGAGGCACTTGTAAAAACACACCTAAAAGTCTATAAGGTGTCAAGTTGAAGTTTGAAAAGTATATTATAGTCAAGATGACTCACTGCAGTTCACTGTAGTACTGTCCCCCTCATACCTGTCTGCTTAAAAATATATCTTTGTATGTTATCCCTGCTTGTGTTTTTGTCATATTTTGCTATTCTTATCTGTTTTGATGTCTGTTCTAAGCCATCTTTAGGTGTTATGAAAGGTGCCCCCAACTAAAAGGCAATATATTTTATATAATTAAATCTCAAATGAATGCAGAATTTAGAACACACATAGAATATAGCACTTACATAAAATCAAATTAGCATTCATTTAGCAGGTCATATGTACGTTTCTGTAACCCTGATGCAAACAAGATCTTATATTAATAAAACAGAAGTTTATTGTCTTTATTTCTCTAATTGCTAGATTTGTTTAAACTAAACCTAAATATTGTAGATCTTAAATACCACGCTCACTATACAGAGCAAGGAAGTATCTATAGCCTCACTAGAATTCTTTAAAACCTGCAACAAGTAAATGTTTAATTAGCGAGACTTGATGATTTTGGGTTTTGGTACGTAGATTTTGTCTCGTAAATGCAGTTTGAGAGGTATTTTCCCGAGCGGCCAGAAAGCAAAGTTAGCCGTGAAATCCTGGTGAGCCGTCTCTGTGAGAAATATGGGAGTTGGAGCTGAAGGCAGCGGTGAGGAGCGAACATGTTGTCGCCCGTGTCGAACATCTGACCTGGCTGGAACCTGCGGAGAGCAGCACAGCTGAACAGGAGGCTGTCTGGATCGTGGGGGAATAGGGGGAGGCTTGGCTGTACATGCTTGGCTTCTTGCCCCGGTCCCTTTGACCAGACAGCTGAACTAGCGAGGGGAGGAAGGGAGGGAAAGAGAGAGAAATGTTTGTTTTATACATTACAACATAATAATCCCCAGTTATCTATCATTTAGCCTCCATCTCACCTGTCAATCAAACACCTGGTGCAGCACTAAGAGAGTGACAGATCAGCCTCCTCCCTCACAGGTGGTGTTTGTGTGTGTACATATACACGTTTGTGCCAGGCTGTAGGATTCAGGGGTTGTAACGATTGACAGATGCACATCGAAAAAGCTCAGAGATTCAGCTATGTGGATACACGACTACTCAACCCACATTGTTCATGAAATAATAAATACAAATAATGTGCCAGCTGTCAGCTCTCCCTCTCTCTGCCCCTCGCCAGCATGTGTGTGACCTACAACATACAGTCTGAACACAAAATATAGTCCATTAATGACACTATAATAAAACACTGCAGACAAACCTTTGCTGCTAGGAGCAATAGTAGCGTAATACATTTGTTTTAACTCATTTGTGGTTGTTTTTTGTGTTTAAAACAACAATTGAATTGATTTGATCAGTGTTTTGTTTTGACATTGTGTGTTTGCTCATGTGTGTGTACTTGTAGGCGTGCAGAGTGTGGCTGTGTCCGCATGTGACCGCCTCCACTGGGTCCCGACGGGGGTGATGCCGGTGGCCCCGCCCATCCCGGCCCGGTTCCAGCCAATCAGGAGCTGACGTGCGGTGAGAGGAGAGGGCTGCGCTGACAGATGGCGCGGCTGACCTGAAAACCTGCCCCCTCTTCAGGGTTCAGCAGCCGGCAGATGACAGGTATTATTTCATAACCCAGAGACTGTCACTCACACACACACACACACACACTTTTGCCTTCAGCTCAAATCATTAACTAGTTGCTGAGTGATTTCCTGTTGAGTTATGTTCACTTTTAGCAGTTTTCTAGTAGCTCCGAAAAGTTTTTGGATTACATCTGAACCTGACTCATTTATTATTCTTTATTTAATCCACTTACAGTATTCTCTAATTGACAGATACAGTACTCTGTATTCGAGTAAACTGTAAAACCCACCTATGAAAAGCACCTAGACAAAAACCATAATTATGTCCCTTGATTTGAATACACTTAACTGAATTTGTTTATCATTTTTAACTACCTTCTTTACCTCATTGTGCCATTTATTATCTTTTAAAAGTATTTCCTTGGGTTTCTGAGACTGCAGATTCCCTGAACTCAAACACACACATACTCTAGTACACACAAGTTACGGTGTACCAGCTCACAGTACGCATAATTTCACACTTATTCATACACACACACACACATTTATCCAAGGCTCCAACCAGCCATGTAACTCTGATGTCAGGGCAAATCTGTCTGGCAGAAAGTGCTTTTTGATGAAGTCGTTCATACATTTTAATACAACATGTCAGCTAACATGATGTATAGACTGGCTGCTCATTCATATTTCAAACAGTCTGCCGTTGAAAAAACAGCAGGGTGTACCTTGCTCTACCTTAAAGTGCTGCCTGGTTACGGCTGTCAGCGCAGAGAAACGCCGCGAGCTGTTACACCTCTGGATCTGAGGCGCAGGGATTTCACTACAAATCCACCGTGTCAGGATGCAGTGTGCGGGAGCATCGAGAAACAGAACTAGCTTCAATCAAATCTGCAATAAATTTGGGAAATAACGTCATGCAAAATGTCTTTTACGGTATGAATCATTCATTTTTACTTAATCATTTAATAATATTAAAAGCTACGTAGAAAGTCATTTTACATCTGTACATCTACTCAAATAAAAAGTACTTTACCTGAGTATTTGTACTTTACCTGAATACATGTAGCGTGTGGCAGAGAAACACAGGGATTTTAGCCTTTGCAGACCATTTACATGCACACAAATCTATATAACACACAGGAAAGTGAAAACCTTAAAAAGCAGTGTAGGGCCCCTTTAATCAGAAAGATTGTGGTTGTTGTTCCTAAGTGATTGGCAGTCATGTTTAGTAAACATTACCTAAACTGGAAGATATACTGTATTTCTTGGGGACTATTTTCAGCGGCAGATTAATCACATTTTCTGCTTTAGTGAGTATTTCTTGCAGCAGGACGGTGTTATCGAGTCAAAATGACCTACAGTGTGTGTGTTCATGCTACTGAAGGAACAGTCACGCAGCGTCCACACGGCAGCGTGCGTTGAAGCTTGCCGGCGGGCGTGTCTGAAACTCGACCAATCACATGAATCTTCCGCCCTGGACACACAAGCACGCGGTTTGATTGGCTAGAGCTTGTACTGACATATGATTTCATTGGCTGACGCTTCCGTCGAAGCTTCAAAAGTTGAAATGTTCTCAACTTTTGAAGCGAAGCAACGGAACCACAATGCAGTTCGGGAAAGCGTGACGTCACCCCATTGAGATTGAACGCAGGCCGCCGTGTGGACGGGCCGTCAGTGCAGCAGTGTCCCTCATTGATGAGTTTTTAAAACTTTTTGGACAACAATGAAGAAGACTTGTTGAAACGTTTTACTTTTAGAGTTCCAACATGGAGCCACGTTTAAACCCCCTACAGATAAAAGAGATCTCAAACATTGAGTGTAAAGGAGAAATATGAAAATATTCACAGTGCGAGCATCATATCGAATTCTCCTTCACATAACTCCGAGTGGTTCTCGCCTCGCTGAGTCGAAAGGTGGCCGATATCTGATTTTTCCAACCTAAGCCTCTCGCCTTGTATGAAAATGAGACACATTACCGGTCCATTAATTGATCCGGGCGCTGCTTTGAAATGTGGCCCTCCCTGAGAATCAGGAATTAGGGCCTGGCTCCGGGGCCAATTAGGTGAGTCCTCTCCGGCTCCTGAGACGCATCTCAATCAGTCGGAGCGTCCGCAGGTGAAATGCCAGACGCCGTGAATGCTAAAGCTATTCATGCCCGAGTCATGCCATGCATACAGCGCAGGGGGCAGAGGCTAATCATCTCTCATTGGCTGCTTTTACCTTTCATGATGCTCCTCCTCACTCAATATGTGTTAGCAGCTTTTACCTTCCATTTTTTCATCTATGCCAATAATAGCAGCAGCGCATCTATGAATAGCAAAGAAGAAGAGATGGAGAGGTAATTATCCCCCTGGGAGGACCCCCCCTCTCCCTCATTTTACACATTTTTAGATGTTACATGCTGGCAAGTTATAGCTTTGATAGGAGTCGTGTCATGTTCTTTTGATCGCTATTTTTGAATTTCCATTTGATAAAAAAGTGTGCCTTATTGGGGGTTAATAGTGTCACCGCAAAATAGAGTGGAACAGGAGGATTATAACAAACGTACAATAATAATTTCCCATCATAATTTATTAAGCCAAGAACAAATGAACAGCAGTATGCACGTTAACATACAGCTTATTGGACGAAAAAGTGAAACAATTAGATTTCTCAGTCTAGAATGAAATAAAATAAAATATTTAAATAATTATAGGCAGTTAAAAAAAGATTACAAAAATGATATAAACATTAGAAGGATGTCCGATTAAAGATAAATTAATGTTAACAATGATATAACCATAGGAATATAAATTAATAATAAAATAAAGATACAAAGGGGAAATGTAGATTATAATACAAATCATAATACAAATATTTTAATAAACATTAGAAGTGAAAGTTGAAATATGAAATGAAAGGAAAATGAAATATATGTATACAAAGTTATGAGGTTAATGTAAAATATGATATAAAAGTTAAAAAAAAGTACATAAGTTAATGTAAAGTGTCCAATAAAAGATTAAATCAAAACAAAATAATAATATTTATATCAACGTATTAGGTTAAAATAAATGTAAAATAATATATAATCAAATGATTAACATGAACACGCCTCCCTGTCTGGCATATTCCAGCCCTGGGAGCGGACCATGTGCTGTGTTCAGATGTGTCCTCCTCACTAAACCCGATGTAATCCCGCTTTCAGCCAGCGGGAGCTTTAATTGAAATAATCCCCGCCGATGAGCCAGTGTCCTGATGGGTCCAGTTTAACCCTCTGTGTGACTCTGACCTTTCCCTCGCTGCTCGCTGGGACCATCTGAACCCGGCCCAGTGAGGACATCTGCTCCAGTACTCGGGGGTGCGTTTGATCCGCCCGACTGCCCCCAGAGGCCTCCACCAGTTTCAGGGGGCACATGACGGTTTAATATCAGTAACATGAGGGAATCAGAAGTCATTAATCCTTTATTTGTCTCACAGCAGGCTGGTCATCATTGTTAAAGCAGCAAAGAGAACAGGCAGAATGATCATATTAAATAAAGAGGCAATACAATCAAATATGTACACCATAAAACCAAATGAGTAAGAAAGGAGATTTTTCACATACTTTCAAAAGTGGCGGACTGGGGCTAAAAATCAGCCGGGGACTCTCGACCGGCCCACCTCGGTACCGCAATTACATACCGCTAGTAAATTGTCGACGGGGAACGGGGGTACTAGTGACTTATTCGACCGGCCCACATCGTCCGACCGGCCCAAAAGTGGAACAAAAAAGTATATTAGGAGATTTAACCATCCCTGTGATACTGCAACAGAGCAACCTGTCATTTATATAAAAACATGCTTTTTATTTGACACTTTTTTCAGTGTGACGTCCTGGACAAACATGAATATACAGGTTCATTTAGGCATAGGACACGTCTGAGACACTTTCAATGGAGGCAGCAGCATAGAAAACTAACACTATATTAGATTTAATATAAATAAAAGGTCAACACTTCAAATGTCCCGCTGCCTTAAACAAAAACTCTCTTACTCTGAATGTTTTAAACACACAGATGTTCGCTGATAAACTGTGACACAGAAGTAAAGGCTACACATTGTCTGTTTTAAGGATTTTTAAACATGCCCACCGTGTTTAAACATCGGTGTTTATAATGCATCACCTCTGAATTATTATCCAGCGTGTGTTCTGCACTAATGAATGTGTTTCTCTGTCCATATTTAGTTATTCCGAGTCTGAATGGCTCCGTCTCTGCCTCTTTTTCCTGCCACTGTATCTAAAACAGTGCATTAACATCTGCAGCCCATTTAGTGCTGCTGACACCAGGCTAATAACAGAGTGTGTGTGTGTGTGTGTGTGTGTGTGTGTGTGTGTGTGTGTGTGTGTGTGTGTGTGTGTGTGTGTGTGTGTGTGTGTGTGTGTGTGTGTGTGTGTGTGTGTGTGTGTGTGTGAGAGACGCTTAAGCACTAGCCAACAAGCACAGCTGAAAGGTGTCACCGAGGCTCCTACGCCTCCTCTAACAGTCACTGATTCAGGGGGCGCTTGTTTTTCCTTTTTTTTGGTGCATCCTCAAGCTGCTGGCTTTAAAAGGAACATTCAACAGAAATGTTTTGTGTTCCACATCCAGTAGGTTGTATCCAGCCCGGTTCAGAAGGTATTACACACCTCAGAACGTCAAAGTCACCGACACCTGAGGGACTACTTTCTCATGTCTGTACTGTAGGTGAAAGAGGGAGTGATAAGGCTGATTTGTGTGTACAGGGCGAGGGGTGGTACATATAAACTCATTTTAATGCAGTGTCTACACTCCTGTGTTATTCTTCCACCCTTCTTCTTCCCTGCATTGTCCATTTCAACGTATTGATCTTGTACACATATTTTTCAAGGTATCTTAATTACTCGCAAAAGAAGCGGCGCCTTGGCCGGCGGACAACACAAATAAGTTAATTTGCATTTCTGTGTTGTGAGTGTTTTGGCAGGCGCCACGCCGGTCCAGATTGTAACCCCTATTTCTGCCTCCAAAAACCTGCCTTGGAGGAGCGTCCACGGAGGGATTAGGGATTTAGTGGGGAAGGTAAGTGTGACTACAAGCTTTGGCTCGCCATCTGCTCCCCAGCAGAGTTGAGGCCAACCTGTGCAGCCTGCAGCAAAGACCTGGGCACTGTGCTAACCGCGGTCTGAGCCAACCTGGCGCCCGCGGCCCCAATCACCAACAGTCTGCTGATTAGTTGTAAGAAGCACTCCATATGTAGCAAAGTTTTTTTTTCCCCCCCCTCCTCTCTCCTCCTTTTCTGTCTGTCTCCTTCCCTTCCGTCCTCTCCTCCTTATGTATTCCCTCACCACATTAAATAAATATGCATGTATGGAATTGGTTCAATTTCTATCACAGGTTAAATAACAGCTAAATGCAAGTTATTCATGTTATATTGACTTTTTATCACCAATCGATCTAGATTTCAGTTGTATGGCTTGTTTTACAACATATCATATTCTCTATTTAGATTTGTGTTGCTTAGTTTGGTTTAGTTTTGTACAAAGTGCTTGATAAATATATTTAATTACATTTCAGTCATTTCACTTTGTAATTTTACTCTACTTTTAGTTCAACCAGGTTAATCATCTCTTTATCAATACTATGTTGTAAGTAGTAGTGCTCGTCCTTAAATAAAAGTACCTACTTCCAGATTTATTTTGCTGTATATTTACCTAAAAATAAACATTAGTTAAAGAATATGCCATAACAATAAGGTAAAATACATATATTTGAACAAACAAGTATTATGTCCAATTGAAGATAAATACAATCAAATAATACGATTATATAACCATAGGAAGTTACAGAATTTGCGTTGGGAAGAATAATGTGTATTCACCAGCTTATAAAATCCTATCAATTAAATTGCACCTATTGAATTGCAATGGTTGTTTTAGTGTGACTTACTCAACTTTAGCACATAGGTGGTTATGTCATTAAATGAAGATCCTCAAGATTCCACCTTGTATTGCCCCTGTCTTTCTGTCTGTGTCCTTCCTTTCCTTCCTCTCCTTATGTATTCCCTCCCCACATTAAATAAATATGCATGTATGGAGTTTTTTCTTTTAGCATTGGGTAGTCTGGCAGGGCAAAAACGAGTCTGTTCTTCTCTCTCTTTCTCACCTCTGACAGAATACCAAGCCAAGGAAGGGAAAGATGAAGAAGGAGAAATCCTGGCTGTCCTCCTCTCTCCATCTCCTTCCCTCCCTTGCTCTCTTTTGCCTGGCAGCGCCGGGAGACAGATGACAAGGGTTTGTGGCCGTCTGATCACCCCTGGGTGGGTATTTTCTAATTTATTTAACGGCAGCTTATTAAAGAAAAAACAAGATGAAGAAGAGGAGGAGGAAGAATGGAGAACACAGGCGGAAGGCAGGTCTCTTGCCCCAGTGGCCAGGGGAGGCAACCTAGCCAAGGAACAAACCAACGAAGAAGAGGAGGATGCACCGAGTCCCCTGGTAGAGAAACCAGAGAAGATCAAACGACACCGGAGGAGGAGGAGAGGAAAGGAGGGAAAAAACACAAGTAACATAATGCTCATTATTTAATTGCAGCCATTCGTGTTGCCAGGAACCTATTTCTCAGTATTAATTATTCATATTTTATTTCAGTAATCCAATACTCAGGTGAGAGCGGCTGCTCTTGATAGAACATGTAATTTGGAAGCTTAATGGCAGCAGGGCGGCCTGAGCCAGGGATTAGAAACTGAGGATAAATCACTAATGGCTGCGCGATGTACGCCGCCTTGAATCCGTCTTGCTTTGTGTTTACTTGTGTTTTATTGTTGCTCCGAGGGAAACACTTTGCCGTGACCTTTCCCCGCGACGCCAGAGAGAGAGGGAGAGGGTGGAGAAGAATAAAAAATCACGTTTTCCAGGCAAAATAAAACGGTGTAATTTCCTGATTTGTCTAAACAAAGAGTTCATCAGCATCTCTCTCCGCCTGACAGTGAATATACAGAAGCAGAGAGCAGCGGGGGCCTGACATGTTTGCAAATGCACACATGGCCTGATTCATACAAATTATGTTTTTCATGCAGAATAGCACCATCACTTACTTTTGATCCGATTAGCTTTCCGTTCTCCTTGTTTTCCTCCCGCTGCATGAAATTCATCTCCTCTTCACCCCAACACCTCCATTTGTCTGCTTGATGAAACACTTCATGATAATAACAATTTGTGGACTTTTTTTGGGGAGGGGGGATTATAAACATACAGCGTTTTTGTCAGCTAACCGTGAAGCCCGAGGCTGTCTTTTTTTATGTTATGCTCCCACATAAATGTCTGTCAGCTCGCTCCTTCACACCATCCAAAAAAGGAAATCTTATATATCATGTAATGTTTCTGCAAACCAAAAACATTCATCTGAAATTATAGGGTTGCATCTGGGTGGGGTTTGCTTTTAAGCTTTGAGCCTTTGCAAAGGAGCTAGGCTAGCCGTTTCCCCCCGTTTACAGTGTCTGTGCTAAGCTAGGCTAACTTTCTGCTGGCTGTTATTAACCATACATATATGGTGTCAATCTTCTATGGTGTAATCTTACTCATTCTGAGAGAAAATATCATCTCTATTTAGTCTTTGACCCACCTGAGAAGTGTATTGTAATGATGCTGTTGTAAAAAGGGTGATTTTAGACACCCCACGTTCTTGAGGAGAACAAGGTGCTGCCCAGCGTTTAGCCCCAAAAGAAAAAAGACAATCAGGTCATAGAGTCTGCACACATCTTGCATGCTCTCTGCTCTCCTGCAATTTGGGCTAAAAAAGTAAAGGTCAGTCACGTTAGTCAGATTGCGCTCGACAAATTCTAAAAGGCTCGCTGGTCACGCCGAATGTATTCCCTGCAACATAATTAGCCCCCTCTATTCCCTGTCGTGCACGCTACCGGCCGGGTGTCTCAAATGCCCCACCCCTTCCCCCAAAAAGCCTTTCACCTCTGCTTGCTCTCTCTCTCCTCCTTTCCTCTCCCCTCTCACCGCTCTATCACACATTGTTGCTCCCCTAAACTTGCTGCAGATGCGATGGGCTGATGCATAAATTAGTCATCAACATTAGCATTAGCCGGCACGTGGCACCCGGTGCCAACTGCTCTCCGAACGGCCATAAAAGGTCATGTTTTGATGACTGAATGCCACACAGGCACCTTGGCTCCCCGGAGGAGGGTTCCCCAGGTGCACGTGAAAGGTTAAAAATTACCTACCCGCCGCCGCCTGTCTCTGGCGAAGGAAATAATTAGGGGGTTTTTAGGGAGCGGCAGAATGCCTCGCTGTCAGATGACAGAGCGTTACCTAATGGTCGTATCTGGGGAAGAGTCAAGCGGCCTGTCATTCTCTTGACAGGACAAATGAGCATAATGGTGGCAGGGAAATGGGAGCCTGTTCCCCCCTTTTTTCTGCCGGGGAGGAGGAAGGGGTGAAATGGCAGCGCCTGAGCAGAATAACACAAGGACGTTAACCTTTTACATAAATCTGTTAACACGTGTATGAGTGCTGTTTAAAAGTGAGGCTTGATGCTCTGCTCCTCCAAGGCGGGTCTTTTACGGCCTGAATTAGTTATAATATATGTTAACCACACTACTCTTCGGGCAAATAAACCTACATCTGTCCTGAATCTGCAAAGGAATAAATCCCTAGGTAAAAATAAGTCTGTTTCAAATTCAACCCCTGTCATATGTCAACATGTTTAAGAAGAAAGTGTTTCAAGGATTCAAGGCGTTTATTGTCATGTGTGCATAGCTACAGTGTAGTTATGACAATGAAAATCTTAGGTGACAGGCTCCTCCAACAGTGCAACACAATAAAACAGATACAATAGTGCAAGTAAATAAAATAGAATAGAATATAGTAGACATAGTGCAGAATAGAAATAGGTATGATATAATGATTTTATGATACACAGGCAACGCAATGAAACATCAACCATGGCGAAGTCTTTCAGGCAGCACTCAGAGAACTAATGGATAGGACTCGGTCCACCATCCAAAGCAGAAGGTGGCAGTAGTGCACCGTAAATGTTGTTGCCACTTGCAGTTAAAAAGCAATAGAAGAAGAAAGTAGGAAGTAGAAAGATATTCACATGGCAGTAGCTTAATCAAAGAAGTGTGTTCCCCTAGCAGATGTGTTTCACTGCACCTGTTTCGGTGCATTCATCTCAGTGAACTCATACACACAGACAGACGTATAAGAAACAGACGGTACAAATGATGATGTTTGGAGTGATAAATGAAGTTCAAGGTTGCAGTTCATGTGTGTTGAATTCCCCAGAGTGAGGCATCACTCCTGCCAGGGTTGGGGGTTTAAATCCCCCTGAGCAAGGCACTAACAGCTGGGGTTAGAGGTGAGACAAGGCCAGTGTTTAAAGGGTCATTTAAACTTATCGGTTCAGGCACAAATACTACAAATATTTATGAACTGGGGCAACTTGGAGTAAAATTACATGCAGTTCTTTGTTGTATTTCTTTAGTTTTCAGTCTGATTTCCTCTTTTGTCACAGGTCAGAGGTCAGGAGCATCACTACTCCCAGATGTCCAGCCTAACTGATGGAGAAGCTCCACCAAGTTTCCTCAGATGCTGTTTGGGTAAGCACCGTTTCATCGGATCTTTTCTTCTCCTGTTCATCCTTAGTTCTGTCTTGTTATGGCTATATAGATATGTATGTGTGTTCACGACTTAAGGGCTTAATTCCAATCGACATTTATACTCTTTTGTCAACTAGTAGTATACGTTTATTTATATAGCCCAATATCACAACATAGTTTGTCTCAGTGGGCTTTACAGATTAGCAAACATAGATGACAGTGTACAAGATAATTAAAATGACAAGAAAATTATAAAAGACATGATAAAAAAATACAACTAATAGATTGCCATAAAATGTAGGACTCAGAAGGACACACATTGGGTCATTTGAAACCAGATCTAACTATAGGCTTTATAAAAAAGGAAAGTCTTCAACACACTCTTCAAATGTGGACACTGTCTGCCTCACTAATAGAAACAGGAAGTTGTTTCCAGAGAAAGGGAGCTAGCTGAACGCTCTGACTCCTGATCTGGTTTTGCGGACCCTGGACATGCACTCTGGGTAATGCCCTAGAGTAGCAGGGGATTCAAATATCTATCTGGTATATATGTAGAATGATGTGTGTCAAAGTGACATTAGGATCGTGTTGTGGTGCAGCTCAGGTGGATGTTTGTCTGCAGGCGGCTGCTCCTCACACCTCCCATTATCCTCCGAGGTGCACTTTAACAGTTCCATTCTTCCTGTGCCACATCCTGCATGTTAACACAGGGGTTATTAACATAACAAACTTAAATGCCCTATATAAATAATATGTTCTGCGAAATGCAAAGCGGCTCAGCTGACACTGTTTAGGCAGCGCCTCCAACATCTGTTTATGAGCACTTTGCCTAATGATATCATCCGATATCATTAACTGTGGCAGTGCGCAACGCAGCAGCAGGTGCAGCTGTTTATGCCCCCCCACCCCCAACACCTCCCCAGCACACATACACACACACACTTGAAGAGAAAAGACTTTCACAGTCTCCTCCAACACCACCTCCCCTCCACCCGCCAATCGCCAAACCGCTCATTAGGACAATTTTCCTCAACAAAAAAGCGGCCCCTATGATTTCAATCTGTATATCACCTGTAATTGTAGTTTTTAGCCAGAGCCTGATTCCATACATTTAGCGGGAGTAAACTGCGGCTGTGGGTTCGAGCGCTGAAAGCCCCTCGCTGCCGCCAGCTGCAGAAGCCGCTTTTAGATGGCAGCGTTTCCATAGGCCTCCGTGTGTGTGTGTGTGTTTCCTGGAGTGGGTGGAGCCTGGCGTCCCGTGCTTTGTATTCCTTGCTCTGTTTTAGCTGCTTGAAATTATAGAAAATTATTGAAATGATTATATCTGGCAGCAACAATGAGGCAGCTCCGTCTTTCTGACCGGAAAGGCCGCGTTCAGGTTCTCTGAGTCTGATCTGATCGCGCGCTGCTGTAATTAGTCAGATGGTGGATTCAAATGTTGTGCGACACGGAGCTATATGCTGCATTAGCACTGTACCCCAGGCCAATACTGTATTTATAGCATGGCAACATGTAAACTGGCTGCAGGAGAACTCTCAGCTGTCAGGTACTCCATGACATTCTTTATTGTCACACTTTGTGCAAACTAGTCACAATATTTGTATTCAGTTCTATTAAGATTTGGTAGGGTCAAGTTCTTCTGCAAAAAGAGTCATAGCTTTGTGTCAATGGGTGCATCTCACTTCAGTTAAATGGATTCCTTGCGTCCCTCACTTGCGTCGTTTCCCTGCGACTAGTCCCTCCTACCAGGGAAGCATGGAGAGATGCAAGGAAACCACGAGAAGCAGGGAAATGAGTTTTAAGAGCAATGGGACGTCCTTTCCTCCGGAGCGTCACGTGAAGCGACGTCCGTTTATGATGACGCCGCACAGCTGATCGTCTGACAGCAGCCAGATCAGTGCATGCCCTGCATCGTCCAATCAGTGAGCGATACACAGTAAGGGGGCGGGGCGAGTGTCTGAGGATTTCACCGGACGATGGTCTGGTAGCTCCTCGATTATCGCTCCTCCGTTATCACTCCTCGCTACTCGATCCTCCGGCACAAATAAGGCCACTGGGACGGTACTCAAGATGGCGCAGACAAATCAACTTCCGGTGATACCGAAACCGAGGAGCGAGGAAATGAAAAATAAGAGAAGTGAAACGCACCCATTGTGTCTACTATCTGAGTAGAACCACTTGCTATCAGCTTGGATTCGGTGCTGCATATTTTAATGGCAGTTATCCTTTGAATGCATGTTCGGTTTGTCTTCCATGGTCCTTATCTCATATAAATTAGTGATGAGTCATAAAAGCTCTGAGAATGAGCTTTCGCAGTTGTGGTCTTGGTGGGTTAAGGGCCCGGAATAACCTGGTATGGTCCTCAGAAGAGCCCAAACAAATGCTGATTATTTAGATTTAAAGTATTGAATATGAGGCCTAAAAAAGTGTTTTGTATGCAGGAGCAATCACCAAATGAATGTATTGCTCCTTACTTTGAAGGCTCCAGCTGCTTGTAGTATTTGTTGGCTGCATTTGGTGTAATTATCCTTTAAATGAATGCATGTTGGGTTAGGCTTGTCTTCCATGGTCGTGTTTTCAATTCAGTTGCGAGCGAGTCATTAAAACGATGAGAAATGAGCCTTTAAAGCTGTGACTTCACTGGGTTAAGGGATACAAAAATATCCTGGTGCTTATTATTATTTGTTAAGAGTTCATATTTGTAGCAAAACCCAGCCTGAAAATGCTAAAATAATGGTCAATACAACTTGTTTTGGTAGTTACAATGCTTGTTTAAAAGAGTCCCGTCAATTGGTGTTCATTTAGAATAAAACAAATAATATGGAGTCATCCCAGATATGTCATTTCCAGTTACTCTTTGATACTTTTGTAACCGTAAACATCTCGTCTCGTGCGTTTCTTCCTCTGCGAAAGTGAAAGCTCTGACAGTTCTACCCGGAGACGTTGGCCCCCAGAGGAGGAGTTTTATTTGCAGGCAAAGACCCCGACACTGAACCCGCTCTGAGCACCGAGGGCCAGCAGGGAATACACACAGACCACACACACACTCACACTCACACTCACACACACACACACACACACACACACACACACACACACACACACACACACACACACACACACATATAATGGTGTACTTCACAGGCTCATATCTTCACTTGTTAATGCCGTTTACATGAGCACACACGGAACAAAAACACACATACGACAGATCAAATATATCCGAACGTGAGAAAACACACATTTACACAACACACACACACACACTCCTCCAGCTGTTCTCTAAATGTTGATTACACAAGACACCGGGGGGAGCCTCCTCCTCCCCTTCCTCTCTTCCTCCTCTGGTAGCCGGGCGATTCCCCCCCCCCACGAGGAGGCTGAGCGGGACCGGCTGACCCGAGGTGCTCAGTGACCCGGGGTCTGGGGTCCAGAGAGGGCCGTGGCCCCGGGGCCTCTTGGCTGGGCTGCCTTCCCCTCAGCTCTATGATGGGATGGGAGACATGGGCAGAGACAGCGAGGCCCCGGGACAACTGGCCAAGGAGCAAAAATATAAAACATTAAAATCATAAAAAAAACTCCTCCGCTGTCGGGATGCTCGGGTAACTTTGTGTCAAGTGAAACGGAGAATTAAAAGAAGATGATTTTTATCCGGCGTGAATATTTGCAGGCGTTGGAGGCTCTTATCCAGCAGGAGAAGAAGATTAGAGAACACGAGGTGAACACTTTCCATCAGTCTAGATCAGGGATGGGCTACTTGGATGGTAGTGGGGGCCACATAATGTATATACTGGCCACCAGGGGGCCGCAGATTCACTTGGAACACACACACACACACACACACACACACACACACACACATTGCATGTATTGTATGTAATTATTAACAAATTAAGTCTGAAATCTTCATTGACATTTTACAATTTTTCAGGGAACATCCTCTAATAAACTCACTAAACAAATATCAGTTCACAGAAATGTTATTTAATTTTTACAAGTGGCATGTTTGTATTGAACAGGTTATTAAACAGTGGAATAAAACTAGTTTAAACTATTGGAAAGCACGGAAAAGGTGTGTGCATTGAGATTAACCATTAGATGACATAAACATGAAGTCATGAACACTAACCCAGACATTAGTTGTCTAACTTGAACCTAAGACACTTGTAGCCTGTCTCTGCATTCCCCTTATTCCACAAGGGGAATGTCAACACAGACACCTGTCAGCCCGCACTCTGCTGTTCCTCAGCGCCGCTCCCCCTCCCTCCCGCTGAAATTATGATTGAAAAGCGTATAGTAATCATAGATAACACGGCAGGGTCCGTGACAGTTTGTTTTCATCTGATTTCAAATAAACAAGGTTTTTAGAATATTAAACTTGTTTCGCCAAATTCAGATAATAAATACAGCTTTGAAGCTTGTAAAGGCATCATAACAAGCGGTAACTTAACGTCACAGCAGGCATAACAACAGCCGGTGTTTCTCGTGAGTGTTTCCCCGGGAAACAAACACTATACACACAAACGCGTCACAGATTATTTTGCGGTATTTGGCTGCCGAATAAAATCATGAACGCAGCTCGCAACGTAACTAGGAGTCTAGTGGACGGTATCAGTACTACAAGTAAAACAATTAGGGCTGTCAAGTTAACGCGTTAATAACGCGTTAACGCAAAAAAAAATTAACGCCACTAATTATTTTAACGCGATTAACGCATGTGTATTTTTTTTCCTCGGCCGCCCCGTAGTTTCAGAGCGCATCGAGTTTAAAATACCATCTACAAGCTGATGCTGACAGCCCCGCTCCTGCCGCCCGCTTGTGGCAGACCACACTTCCACGCTCACCGGCAGGCACCGACCGGCCATCTGGAGGACCGGGAGGGTGTGTGTATGTGTGGCCCGAGCGAGCGAGAGAGGGACCTTACGTGCATTGTTGTTGTTAGCATCTGATGCTAGCTAGCTGCGCTAACGGATAAGGAGCTGTTTAAATGAAAACAGAGG